GTTAGGTTAACTCGGGCGGTTACATCAATTATGCTCGGGAGAATACCTCGGTAGTAGGTAATAGTTACACAGGTAGATACCTTTATCCACGATGGTGAATAGCAAGACACAAGCTTTCCTTACCTACCAGGACTTCATAGGCACTACATGTAGAACCTATTCTGTGAAGTAACTGCCTACGTTTCAATCAAACCTTAGGTAGGTACCTCAGTTTGGGTACTAGAAAACCCCTGTACTTATAGGTAGGTTCCCTCTAGTTCCCTACGGTTGAAGGCCACGCCACGCCACCTCACTTCGTTTTAACGAGGTGCCTCCCAACTGCTGTATTGCTATTGGAAGCTCCTCATAATCTGTATGATCCAGCAGGCCACGGCGCTTGAGCAGAAGAGACCCTCTTCCCCTCTTGATTGCCTTTCCCCCTTTTCTCTCTAATTTTTTTCTTCTTTCATGCGCTTTTGTTCTTTACAAAGAATTCCCCTGAATCTTGTTTATCATTTTTTCACTCTTCTGGAACCAACATCAGAGTTTTGTACCTGACGCGGCCGTTTCTGCGACCTACCTACCTACTCTGCTGGGACCCCTCGATCCAATCAGGTACAAACAAGCACAACCAACGCTACCACCCGGGAGACGGAAAGCACTGACTACCTAGGTACTAATCTACTAAGGTAGTGCCTTACCTGTACCTAAGGTACACACAAGCCCACGTCATTTTCAGCCGATACAGCTCAAACGGTTGAACCCCGCTCAACCAACAACTCAAACAAGATAAACCTACACGGCACATCACCAAAGAGTTTTGTTGACCTCTCAAGTTTGTTCTTGTTGATCAAGAACAGGCCAGCTACCGCGGCCTCCTTTGCGCCTCGTCATCTGCGTCATCAAGCTCAAACAGGACGTTCACTTGCTCGCTCACTTACCCCGCCATCATTGGGGAACTTCCATATCGCATACTGTCGCACATTTCGCTTCCGTATCTTCCGTCGCCTATTAGAGGCGCCGTCGCATATCAAGATGGAGCGTAGTCGTGGTGTTCCGGATGAGGAGATGTTTCTCAGCAAGCCTGCCCCTGAAGACTGCGACAGCCCTACCGTTGAACCTTTGCGCATATTCAAACCTCAGAGCCCCCAACCCACAAAAGATGGCAGATCCTCTGCTTTCCGATATCCTGCGCCTCCTTCGTCCACATCTCCCGCCTCTAAGCACTCATTTCCTCTACCTCCTGGCGCCTCCAGCTCTGCGGCTCCCTTGCCGTTCCCGGACGACGACGACGTTCGCAAACCAACTCCTGCGAAGCCCTTCGGTTCCGCATACAACGACACCAGCCCTCGACTAGAAACTAGCCCACCAGGAAAGAAACCTGGTCTCGCTGAGCGAAGAGGAGCTGCCCCAAAACCCATCAGCTCTCCCACAAGTCCTGACGCCGACACCGATCTTTTTCAGCGTCCTCTGGCCGATAGCCACCGCCCTGGCTCCTCGAACAACAATTATCCAAGCTATCAAAAGACGTACTATCCGCCGCCTGGTGCTGCGTCTGGCTCATCAAGCAATGCGCCGGCCAAGCCTGCCGCTGTCCAACAACTCAAGATGAACGACCAGGGGGTAAATCGCTTTGCTTCAACTGCCTCGACTTCAACGACCCGGGCAAGCCGTGGCTCGCCTCCCCCTCCCGAAACCCCGATTGTGGAGCCAGGACAGGCGCCGGCTGATGCTATCGAGGCCCGTTATGCCGCCGCTGGTATCTCTGGAACTGCTACCCTTAACAGCCTGGGCGCCCCCAGTGCGGCCGCTTCCCAGAGACTCGCGCAGTACGGAAACCAGCCTCCTCCTCAACGACCATGGACACCGACCGAGACCCCAGACCAAGCACCATCCGGTCCTCCGACTGTGTACCAGGGCATGAATGCTATTTCGAGTCCGGCACAATCACATCAGTCGTTTAGTCCTCCCCCACAACCCGAACAGCAGCAACAACAAAAGCCACAGCCACAAGGGCAAGGGCAAGGGCAGGGCCAGGCGCAAGTCAGTGTGTTGGAGCAAGACTTCCAACGTATGAACACTAACTCGCCCCCTCCTGCGTACTCGAGCCTCAACCCTGGTGGAAACTCGTCCTATCCCAACGAGAAGCAACGGCCCCAGCAAGCCGGCTCAAGTTCTGCCGCTGCTCAACCCAACCAGCAGGTGACTGCATCGACAGCGCCAACGAAGGCCGCCACAGTAGCTGCAGCTTCAACTGTTGCTGGTGGACTTGCTTCACCTGCTCTTCAGCACCCAGGCCATCCTGCGTTTGCCAACGACCCTCACCCTGCGTTTGCGAATGAACCGCACCCTGAGCAGAATGGGCAACCGTCTCAGCAGCAAGTCGTTGCCCCTGCCCAGACCTTTGAACCCCAAAACCCTGCCTCACCTCCACCCTTGCCTGAGGGATGGATCGCCCATTTGGATCAGAATTCCGGACAATACTACTATATCCATCTGGCATCTCAGGCTACACAGTGGGAGTTTCCTAAGGGACCAAACCCCATATCTCATGAACAAGCTCCTCTCTCACCAACCGCTTCGACTTATGGAAACCCTTTGGCATCGCCGATGTTTGGCAAGCAGGCCATGGCCTCCCCGATGTTCCCACCGCATACCCCTGGTTATGCTGAGAGTATCATGAGCGTGGCGGCTTCAGCAACACCCACAGCCGCCGGGTTTACCGGTCCTCCGCCGAGCGCAGGGGTTGATATGTATAGAATCCAACCTACGAATGGTGTTTACTTTGGCCCCTATCTACGATATGTCAACATGGATATTGAGAAGGGCCTTTGGCTGGGTAGTATTCTGATTGTGACAGATGCTCCTCAACCACCCACAATCCATATTCACCTAAGCCACGACCTGGCACCCAATCCACGACAAGCCGAGCCTCGCCCAATTTTCACACACCAAAGATGGAAGTTTTATAAATATGATTTAGAACTGCCCATGTCTGAGGCTGGTACTGAGCGTTGGACATACGCAGTTACCTCCCACCTTGGCTGCACACGCTATGAATTCGTGGTGGCTGGGCGTCAAGAGACTAGCTGGCGCTTTATTGCACATTCTGGCAACGATTTCGCTGCAGGCACTTCACAGAACGAGCGAGCTAAGCTTGGCGGGGTTGGATTCATGTGGAAGGACGTCCTTCAGAAGAATGTCGATTGTGGTGGCTTTCATGTTCAGTTAGGGCTAGGAGACCAGATCTACGGTGATCGTTTGTGGAAAGAAGTCCCTCTCCTCAAGCAGTGGCTTGCCATGAGTGGACGTGACAACAAGAAGAACGTCCAGTGGACAGCGCGGCATGAAGAGGATGTCGCACACGCATACTTCCACTACTACACCAGCCACTTTGATCAACCATTTCTTCGTGAGGCGTTTGCGCAAATCCCCCATGTTCTGCAGATTGATGACCACGATATGTAAGTGCACTGCTATCATTTAGTCTGTTAGATGTACTGACCCGAATAGTTTTGATGGATATGGCTCATACCCAGACTATATGCAATCTTCGCCCATGTTCAAGAACATTGGACGAATTGCAACAGAGATGTACCTGTTGTTTCAGCACCATACCACTGTCGAGATGCTACGGAACGTCAGCACCGATCACGATATATTCACCATCACTGGAACTGGTTGGCATTTCGTGAAGTACCTGGGACCGGCTGTGGTGGTTGTTGGCCCTGACTGCCGATCCGAGCGTACCCAAGCCCAAGTAATGGCAGGCCCTACATACCAAGGGATCTTCCCCAAAGTTGCTACACTTCCACCAAGCGTGCAGCATTGTATCTGGATGATCTCGGTACCACTTGTGTATCCACGCCTTGACACCGTGGAGAGCCTTGCCAACACAATGGCTGCGGGCAAAAAGGCAGTCAACACAACCTACAACATTCTGGGTAAGGTCACGAGCTCCGTTGCAGGCGTAGTCGGCGGTAAAGATGTGGTTGCACAAGGCTTCTCGCAGGTGAAGAAGGCTGTCGGAAAGACTGGTCTCATGGGTAATGTCTTGAACCAGTTTGGCGAGCTTGATATTCAAGAAGTGCTCAAGGATATGTGGACTCACGACACCAAGGACCTAGAGAGAACCTACCTGATCCGAACTCTGCAAGGTATTTCGCAACAGAAGGGAATTAGAATGACCTTCCTCTCTGGAGGCAAGTCGACTACCACAAATCAGTTCTTGAGATTTTCAGGCTAACATTACTGCAGACGTCAATGCCTCAGGAGCTGGGTTGGTTCACGACCCCACGCACCCGGGTGACCACAAGACCATGTACCAGATCATCTCATCCCCTATCGTGGCGGCACCTCAGAGCAACTATGTGCTCAAGATGCTGCACAACCAAAAGACGCTTTACGTGCCTCAGAATGGCAAGAAGTCAACGCACGAGGTGTCGGACACAAAAGAAGATATGATGGAGATCTTCCATTCTGATGCCAGTGGTGCCGCAAGAGAGCTCAAGAAGCTCATGGGTCGTCGAAACTACGTCGCCTTTGTTTCATACGACCAGGACGCAGCGGCAGCAGTGCCCCAGACACCGTTCAGCCCTAACCCCAGCCTGAACGGCTCGCAACAGGGCCTGTCCAAGGTGAGCCTGGCCGTCGACTTTGTTGTTCAGGGTGATGGAGCGTTCACGGCACCAACTAAATATGGCCCTGTCATCATCCCTCATTTGGAATATGGACGATGATTCAGTTGATGGTAGTTGGATTTCTAGGCAAGAGCACTGATTGGATTTCGCCATTTATATTGCACATATAGCGTTTCTACGATATTACGAAGACATGTATACATCAAAGATACCTTGTTGATTATCAGTTTGTCGAGCTTTGCAGCATTATATACGGCTACGAGACGGGTCAATTTCGACCACATTTGGCAGGATGTTCATGGAAAACATGGCATGTTTCTTGGTCTCGTTTCTATTGTGTATATATGCTTTTGAATCTCATTCCAACGCCCAAATATGTATTTAGAGATCGAAGAGTTCCTTGAGGATACGCATGGTGTCCTCAGGTCCGGTGACGGAGTGGCCAGTTGTCCTAGAGTCGGTGTAAATCTCGTAGTCGTTGCCGCCCTCGAATGTCTTGTCGCCAAAGAAGTGAATGGTCTTGTAGGCGATACCGTCAGGCTTCTTGGCCTCGTTCTCAAGGTGCTGGAGGCAGTAAGTCTTATCCCACCCGGTGGGGAACACATCGAAGGAGATCTGGCCACCAATGGAGAAGCTTTTCGTGACAATGTCAGAAATCAGCGTGCCATGGCGGATTAGGGGTCATAACATACGTGAGGCCGAGGTGGCCGAATCGCTCCTTGAGAACAGCGACAAACTTCTCCCGGACCTTTGCGTCCTTGTCAAACGCCTCAAAGTCGTTTCGCTCCTGAGTGCTGGCGTTACGACCCACGGGGCTAATGTTGATCATTCCATTGCGGAATTCAATGAAGGTGCCGCGCTTGACGGGGATGTCGAGATCAGCAACGTAGTGGAGGACGAAGTTGGCAAGCTCCTTGTACTGCTCCTCGCCAATGAACTTGATGAAGGAGTTCGACTCGAGGGGTTCGCCGAGCTTGAAGGCAGTCAAGCCGTTCTCGGAGAAGCAGAAGTCGAAGAGGGCGGTGACGGGCTGTCCGGCGGGCTTGCCCAACTGCTCCTGTTGCTTGGCGAAGTCCGAGCCACCAACATATCCGATAGCACACTTTGAGCGAAGTTTCTGAAGGATGTCGAGGATCTCAGGCGAGGCGTCCTGTACGGGTGAGCGATTGGAAGGGATTCAGAGCAGGGTGTTTGAGCGTACCAGGCGCGCGGGTGTGAGTGTGCCGTCAACGTCGAAGAGGCAGATGGTGTCCTTGAGAGGACGCTCCTGGAGAGGAGTGTACGAGGGAGGGGATACGAGAGCCATTGCGAGTGCAGTTGTAGCTTGGAAAGGAGAGAACCGAGACTGTACGGTACAGGAACAAGGTGAGATACGGGAGCTCCTTGGTGTTGAGGAGGGGACTCGATACTACCTACCTAAACAAATGGATGGGAGAAGGTGGGGCAGGGATGGGATGGGGAGCTAGATTAGTGCCTACTAGGTACCACCTATACAGAGCATGTACGATGAATTTCAATGCGGGGCAGACTTGACGACGAACTACCTTAGTACCTTACCTTGGTACCTTACACCTCAGGTACCACAGATATTGGATCCAAGGTGCTGCTCTTGGTGATTCAAAAAGCTTGCTTGTAATATAGGTAGATCCTGGCAGAGTCGCTGAAATAACAACATGGGACCAACAGTCTGCAGACAAAATGAGGTGAATTGCTGTGGTTTCTCAAAAGTCTTCTAGAGTAACCCTTGGGCCAAGTTTACCGCTAAAGATCCAGGGGTTTGTCCACTGTTGGTTATGGATGCATTGGTATTGGAAACAACACTTTCTAATGACCATGATAACTAGATGATCAATGAGGGTTGCAACTTCTGAGAAGTAACAAAGATATAAGGAAGATTGGTTACCTCTTGTTTTGAAAGCTCTAGACTGAGAATTCGTTGCTCTCATCTTCCACTCCTTGTTACCCCTCCTGGCCCTCTAATGACCCCTCTAACACTACCTAGGTAGGTACCCCTAGGGGGGCAAGAAAACACCGGACCTTGATATGAGGTGACAAAATAAACTCAGCAAAAGATTTCCTAGATTTATGTCAAATTACCTAAGTCTTTTTGTCATTTAGGGTTAAGGTCCTGAGTTTTCTTTCCTCCCCTAGGTACCTTACCTGCCCCTCCACCAAAAGATCTTCACAGCCTCTACTAGCGCAAGGAAACTTTTTAGTGGGCCACCTGTTCCGCCCAGTCTCACCGCTAAATAGCTCGCAGCAACCAATGGGTCCCTCAGTCGAGGTGAGCTCGGTGAACGAGTGAACGAGGATTAAATTCGGGACGGATGAATGGTCATTACCTGATGGATATCCCTATATACACTTGTATCAGGCAGGATCTCTGGAAACAGCTCTCGTTCGTTGAAGAAGAAAAAAAAACGCAAAGTCGTGTTATTGCTTGGTCTAAACAGTCGCTCAAAGAATGTATGAATAAGACAAAAACGCCTTTGTAAACCCAGCCAAGTTCATGGCAGGCTATGCCATTTCACCCCAAGCTCCAGTGAGCTCAACGATCACGTTTACGATTGTGCTCACTGCCCAGAGAGTGATCAGTCCCCATCCAATCCTGCGACTCAAGATCCATTTGTTCATGGGCACAACAATAAGCAAACCCACAAGCGTGACAAGTAGTGTGATAGCTGAGATCATCAGCGTCCCACCGACTTGAATGCGGTAAGGCTTGTACTTGATGGGATGGCTGGGGTTCTTGCGATGCTTCTTGTTTGCCTTCTGGATTGTCATCATGGCACCGCCGATACCAATCCCCAGAAGGATGTTCAGCATAGGGCCACCGAAGCAAGCAGATCTAGATGTCATATTAGCCTCGGTGCTCCAAGGAAGCCCTACTGTACTTACAAAGCCATGACGGGATACCCGAGCCGTGCTACTGTAATATCAGCGACTAGATCCCCCACACTGTTGCCAGCAGCAAATATGGTGAGACCTAATAGCGCTTCCGAGATGTTCAAAATAACACCAACTGTCTTGAGGACCCCTACAACCTCGCCTGCGATGGTTGAGATCCAAGCAATACTAATAATGAATCCCATGAAGCAAAGCATGTAATGATAACGAGGGGGTCTGTCCTCTGACGTGAAAACGACTAAGACACCGAGAAGAATGAGAGATGCCAGGAGTGCGTATAGCACCATACGGATCAAAGCTTTATGAGGGTTCTCCCAGTCCTCCAAGGTATTGGCCCACAATACAAGGACAGCAAACTGGGGGCCAGTAAATAGTTGTAGCGCCACGAGCCATCGGTTCCAGCCTGTGCAGTCATTTTTGACACTGCTGGAGGAATGGAAATCTGAGGCTGGCTTCGCCACTATAGCTGGTGGACCCAGAGAGAACTGCGAGGCAGCCAGAGTATCTCCATCTGCAGCATGTGCTGTAGAAGGTGTTGTCGCAAGGCCCACGTGACCGTTGCCACGGCTTGTGATGGTGTGTCTACGATAGCGCTCCCATTCCGATTCCCTTTCTGGCTCAATCGCCGAGCGCTCGATCGATATGGGCGGAGCCATGTGCCCAACAACTTGGTGATCGTGATGGTAATGATCGGTGTGGTCATTGAGTACCTCGAGGATAGATGATTCGCCGTCTGTTGTTTCCGAGTCTACGACGGGTAAAGTCACCACCAGAAGAAAGATACTTGGGACAGAGATGGCACTGACAAACTTGTCCCATGCCGTCTTCTCTTTCCAGCCTTGCAATGTAGGGAACAAAGTTGCCCACAAGACATGGGGGGCTGGTAGTACGGCATAAGGCCACCATCTAACAGGACGTGACGGTGCATCGACTGTCAGTTGTAAGTCGGCAAAGGGTGTCTCACGACTTGCTGGACCCGGTGCAACGGTACTGGGTGACACTCCTCCTGGCGACACGAACTCAATTGGGTCATTCTGGTAATTGGGCGTAAGCAGTGCTGGCGAGTCACTGTACATAGGAAAAGGCGTGTTAGGTGAGGAGCGGTCGCTGTAACTGCTACGTCGGCTGGAAGGTATTTGCAAGCGAAGTTCGGGAGTCAGCAGCTGTCCTTTCTGGTCTTCCGGAGGCGCATCGTGGGTGGTCCCACTAGGACCGACGGGAGGCGCTGCCAAGTTTCCCCCTATAATGTAGGATGGGCTGGGGCTTGATGCCCTCGTTCCACTGGCTGCTGAGCCAGGAACGGACAACGTCGGCTCGGATCCGTTGCGGCGTGGAATGTGTAGGTCCGGGTGAGCAGGCACACCAACTGGGACGTCTCCAGAAGAGAGCGCTCTGTTCCTTATGGGTGCGCGCTCACCAGTGTCGGGGTCCAACTGACCATCAGACCGAGCCGATTCCGCGATTGTTGCGGTGGTCTGCCTGCGCCTGTGCACATGATAATCCGAATAGCTTCTTCCTGGGATCGTGGACAGCTGTAAATTGCCCTCGCGTTGTAGCTGCGCCAAAGCAGACCGAAATTCCAGTGCACCTACAAGACTAGGTCGGATGGGCGTCATTGTGTTTCGTCGAACCCCACGGCCTCGCAGAACTCGCATACTGCTGGCAACCTCGGCCGCAACCATGCGATCATGGTCTTCACTAGATGTGTCGCTTCCAGCTCGCTGAGGCGTACCATCAACCTCGATTCTGGGTCCGGCTTCAAGGAGCGAGATATCAGGCGGCGTAGCGTGCGCAGTGCCAGGGCCCGAGCCAGCATCATCTGGGTCGTCTCTATATGGCTCGCCGGCCAACTCGTCCCCAGAGTGACCTAGGGCTGCATACACGTGGCTGCGCGCTTCGCCTTCTCTGCGTTGTCTAGCTTTGCGTCTCGTAGAGTACCAGTGCCATGTTACAACAGTAACGACATACACTCCATAGTACCCTATCATCACCCAGCACTCCCATAAGTGCAAGTGGCCGTCAGCTAGGAAGATCATGGTGAAGACGACCGCAAGGATGAAGAAGCAAATATCGCGTGTGTATGATTTCCGATCGACACGGAACTCCCTCACCAATGCCATAGAACCAGCAACGACACCTGTGATAAAGCTTGCCGCGCCGATCAGCTCTCCGACGGCCATGCTGGCGCTATTAGAGCCCATGGCTGCAAAAGTGCTGAACACATCGGGAGACCCATTACCAAACGCGAGAAATGTGACGCCTGCCAGGCTCTCGCTCAGGCCAAGAACTGTCGCTATCGTGCTTAGGTTGACACTGAAGAAATCACTTGCAGCGATGCCGATGGTGGTGAAGAGGAGGCCCAGCCAAAGCACAAGGGCTGTGAATGCGACGGGTCTTGCATTGCCGAAAGAGCAATAATACAGTTCAATGTAGTGTACAAGCCCGGCATCATCATCGTTGCAGTATTTGCGCACAAAGGCGCATCTGTCCACAGCATTGTGGACTTGACTGCACTCGGGTGTTTCGACCGTAGAGGAACTGCGCTTGAAGAGCAGCTCGGGATCTGCCGCGCGATTCGAGACGGACTGCGCGAAGGTTGTATGCGACAAAAATGAATACGCAGTCATGACTGATAGAAGGAGGACCGTAGTATAGAAAGGGCGAGACTGCAAGCGGCTGCCTCTGGGGAAACGCTTGGGAGTCGCATTGGGGCGTTTGGTAGTCTCGTGGATGGGGCAAAGACGCCCACGGGGGGTGGTATTCGTCATGTTGGAGCTGGTATCGTCATGTCATGAAGTAGCTTCTCTGGATGCCATTATGATCCTGAAAGAGAAAGAAAAACAATGAACAAGAACGGGTCTTATGAAGCTTAAGAATATAGATTGAGATGCGATCCAGTGAGGGGAGTCGGAGAGATGCAGAGGAAATGTTTGGAGAACAAGAATTGGGTTCAGTGCTAGATAAGGTAAGGTTTAAAGGTTTAATAAAGTGTCCGCCATATCTTGACGTTACATGCTCCCAAGCCCGTGGCATGCCCCATTCCCACGTTAACTTAACCGAGGGGGGGGGAATCGTGGATCGGTGATCGAGAATCTTAATATCCCCCGTTATGCATCGACTTTCCCTTTTGAACCATCCAGAAATCCAGTTTCCAGCATTTTAGCGTCTCTTTGCGACGGGTTTGTTACAACCTAGTTTGGTGATGGTGACGAAGATGAAGGGAGGCCGCCAGTTGTTCAGAGATAGTACGGCATTGCTTGCCACAGTTAGTGTAAGAGTGAGGTGTGGCTAGGTACCTATCTTATTAGTTTCCAAGATTGGCAGGAACCATCAAGACACAGCTGATCCAGTCCAGAGCTCCCAGTGACAGACTGATCGCTAAATAATAACGATGACAGGAGTAGCTTGCTTGGTCGATACAGTATGCACACCGACTTCTCTGCCACTCGCACGTACAACATTGGGTTCCTTGGTTAAGCTTCTCATCTTCAACGTGCTTGCTTTAGGTTGCGCCACGTGCTTACTGGAAACTTGGTGATCAGATGGGATCCAGTAACTTAAGGTGGCATGGGCAGGGGTAGGTTACCATTGGGTTGTTTGGCCTGTTCCTGCCTTGACATCGTCTGTTGTCCGTGATGTTCCGTTTCAGACGGCGGAGAGTATCCGTAAGCACCTCCGTACCTCCGTCTCTGCCTACCTCGGTGGGCTGTGGCTAACATCTCCAGCCACAGTTGAGGCCTAAGGCTAAACAATAACACAGTATTGAAGTTACCCCACACACCGCCCGCCCCCTCGTGCTAGTTACCTCCATAGCAGTTGGCATTTATTTTGTTTACTTTGGCCAGGGAGGGTCCCGCAACACGACGACGACAACGCGATAGGCCTCGTCCAAACACGCCCTTTTTATCCCCCCAAAACCCACACAAACAAATTGAAAATGCCTCGAGTTGCTCAAGTCCCCCGGACGGGGAGTTCCAGGAACAACGCAGGCTCTAGTACGGCCTCACCATTCATAACGCAGTCACCTGTCAAGTCAGTCATCGATTCCCCAGCAACACCTGCGGTGTGCTAATGCAACTATCCAGAATCCCCCTCAACGATGATGTGTCAGAAAAGGGGCAGCGCATGAGCTCCAGGAGAGCTCTCCACGAAAGACAATTTAACGAGATTAAGAAGGCCGCAACTCCTCGCAAGGTTGGTCTTCGCCTTGACGACATGGAGAACGGTGATCCCCAAACTCCCCGCGGCGGCCGCGCCAGCAATATCGAAGATGACGAGGGCTTCGTGGTCGGAGGCTCTGCGGTCACGCCTATGAAGCGTGTACCGCTTCTCGCCAATTTCGAAGAATGGATGAAGATGGCCACCGACAACAAAATCAATGCGACAAATTCATGGAACTTCGCTCTCATAGACTACTTTCACGATATGTCACTCCTCAAGGAAGGCGACGGTGTGAACTTCCAAAAGGCTAGCTGTACCTTGGACGGTTGTGTCAAGATCTACACCAACCGTGTGGACAGCGTCGCAACGGAAACAGGGAAGCTATTGAGTGGTCTTGCCGATAGCAACAACGCCAAGAAGAAAGACAAAGATGGCGAGGATGCCGACGAAAGCGACGAAGAAGAGCTCGACGAGGATGGCAACGTAAAAAAGAAGCCCAAGAAGAAGGTATAGCAAATATCCGGACACTCCCAAAAGGTTCAAACTAACATTTACTAGACACAACGATCATCTGAAGCAACACTTGCCCCCTCCTTCAATTCACTGCAGCTCAAAAAATTTGAGCTGGAATTCGCAGTCGATCCCTTGTTCAAAAAAGCATCTGCCGATTTTGATGAGGGTGGCGCCAAGGGCCTTCTTCTAAACCATCTTATGATCGATTCACAAGGACGCATCGTCTTTGACAGTAGCGACGATACTGGTGATGCCACCACCCTCGGGAAGACGAAGTCCGACGATGAAGAGGGTGGCGGAGAAGACGAGGCCGAGAACGACCCGGAAGAAGAGGAGCTGGAAGATGAGGAAGAGGCCGATGACGTCGAAATTGATGTTGGAGTCCTTGGTGCCAAGTTCATCCCCGACTTGCACCGACTCGATGAGCTTGATGTTTGTCCTTCTCTAAAGACGTTTGATCTTGGCGATCCTTCGGGATCCATGGATATTCCATTCCTGAAGGCACCCGAAGATTGGAGACAGGACCAGGACAAGGATAAGACCCCAGGAGCGCTTGGCGACTTTTCCGGTCTCGTAATCGATGGTGACGAAGCAGCAGGCTTCGACGATGATGACCTCGCCCTGGGAGCCTTCGATGCTGCCGATAATGTCGCTTTCGGCGAGGGCGGCGAGGCTTGGGCTAGAGAAGCCGCCCTGGAGCCACAGATGCGAGTGTACGACGCTGGCCTCGGTGAAGAGGGTGGTGACGGGGATGAGATCGACGGCAACGGTGAATACGTTGTTTCAATGACGAGCGCGCAGAAGGCGGACAAGATGCACGAGGACATCCTCGGATTTTTCGACCAGGCATTGCAGAAGAATTGGGCGAGCGCGGAGCACTGGAGGATCAGGAAAATCAAGGATGTGAATAAGCCCGCAACGGAGACAAAGAAACGCAAAGAGAAAGAGCCCTTTGAGATCGATTTTGCCGCACCGCTAGATTCACACACTTCGGATATTATTCATACACAAGCCACCAACAATTCAGCCATCAGCATGCCCAAGAAGGATTGGAAGTCCAAGTCACGCAATCTTCTCCCCGACGACAAGCACTTTAACTCCAAGTCTCTGCTGAGCCTATTCCTCAAGCCAAAGGCACGGATGAGCAAACGGCGCACCGGCTTCAGCTCTCGCGGTGGGGGTGGCTTTGGTAATATCGGTGCAGATAATCAACCTGATGGTGAAATGGACGAAGCATTCTGGGCCAACCAAAAGGCCCCGCAACATACAGACGAGACAGTGTTGCCTGAAGGCGACTATGATGCCAACTTCTTCCAGGACGATGTTATGCCATTCCCCGGCGGCGGTGACTTGGACGACGATGATGATCTAGAATTTGCGGACGCAAGAGAGCACTTCTCCCCAGGGCTTGACGGGCAGGCTGGACTCACTGATGGCGGAGGGCTCACGGCTCTACTTAATGGGGAGACAGTAACCAATACTGGAGCATTCGGAACAACACTGGTTACTCAAACGAGGCGTGTACGTCCCGAGTATGTGCAATATGCTAGGGTAGCCAAGAAGGTGGATGTGCGAAGGTTGAAGGAAGAGTTGTGGAAGGGTATGGATGTTGACATTCTTCAAGTAAGTTATTATGCACAGTCAAAAACGAAGACGTGGCATTATGCTGATACATCTCACTACAGAACCAACCTAAGCCCCAAGCAGTGGATGTCAGCGAACCTAAGCAAGAAGAGACGCTCAAGTTCACAGAGATCATGAACAATCTGCAGACCGTATATCCCAAGCCGGTGATGGATGATATTTCAACCTCATTCTGCTTTATCTGCCTCTTGCACTTGGCCAATGAGAAGGGTCTTGTGATTGAAAACACACCTGGTCTGTCGGAACTTGAGATCCGCAGGGATTGGTCAGCGGAGATTGTCGAGGGTGAATAGCGGGAGCGGTTTTGAACTATGTAACCACTTGTCTTGAGTATGCTTTGAGGTGGTCATGTACTTGTTTATTTGACGAGTCATGCATGATATGCTCGCAGAATCGTTCAAGAGACACCTAGCAATGCATGGTATTGTATGGTATGGCATAACATGATATCCTGGCGTTGGGGGGGGGGGAGTCAACAGTAACAACATCTAGAGTACTTGTTTTGAATGAAGGACACGAAGGAATGATTAACTGATCATGCTCATGAGCTTTACTTTATACCATGTGGATGCCGACCGGAAGATGAGGCGACGGTTCTTTAATTTGCAGCCTCTTTTCATTACCAATATGAAGAAGGCAAGTTTGAATTCTTGAGTGATTGGGCTTTTGTGGTCTCTTGGATCGTATCCAAGTTTTCTCAATGATAATACTTGGTGGATGGCAACCTGACCTGACCTGACATCCATATCCCAAAATCGGGGCTGCTGGAATATGAATGGCAGAAGATTCGTTATTATATCATCCAATCCAATACGCGAGTATCTGCAACATCACACTCATCTCGTAGCTGACTTTTCCAGTTTCCATGGCTCAAGGGAGTTGATTAGCCACACAAGCTATGTCACCTGGCTAAGTAAGTACTGAAGATTGCAGAGAGATGGCATTGCTAACCAACTCATATAGCGACCCTAGTGCCTAGAGCAAATAATTTTCAGCTCATGTGTTCAAGATCAGGTCCTGATTACCTTATCTTTGTACGGGTAAAACAGACAGACTCCTGCTCAAGATCCGTATGATTTTACGTTACCTTCATTGGGTACCTAGATGCCTAGGGACTTAGGTACCTATTTACCTTAAGTACCGAAGGTAAGGTACCTACAGGGGAGAAGTCAAAACACGAGACTGGATTTGGTGGTAGATCGGTGGATTTTGGTGTAAGCCAGTCTCATGTATTATTTCCCTCCAAGGGGTACCTACCTCCTCCTAGGAACCTGGAACCCTCGAGCTGGGTACGTACCTTAAATCCTAGTCTCAGACCCACTCATGGGCTTTTGTGGCTGCGCCATGACGTTGAAACTGGTTACGAACTGGACCCTTATGACGATGTTGATAAATTGTGGGGGGGCCAAAGCAACCCAGAGGAGAGAACAAGAACAAAGCAATTTTGCTG